ATGATTCTGAAGCTAACCCTATAAGTTGATTGAGTTTTTGTGCACTATTGGAGATTTCACCATTGATGCCAACTAGGGTTCTTCAAGTTTTAATTTGGGCGTTTCTAAATACTGTAAAATTAGAGAACCTCAGTGCCATGTTTGGATTCAGGATGCTTGGACGATCTGAACACAACCCTCGCGCCTAATTTATGTGATACCATGGCCTAATCGCTATTTTGAAAACAAGCATATTTTGAGGGGGTTTAAAACCCCCGTTAACCTTTTGTATGTTTCAGGGAAAAAACAAAACGAGGAGGAAGATGATGAAGTGTCAAGACAGGAGTGGGTCATTTAAATTCCTCGCGCATTTTTTCTATTTTTTGAGCCACTGACCACTTTTCTCTTATAACAATTATTTGTCATTATATAATAAAAGCGTGCGTTTGGTTCAGGTGGTAAGCAAGCGTATTGGTAACCTTCAGGACCTGGGTTCGATCCCAGGTCCCCCTCCCTTTCCTTATATTTTTCTTCTAATTGTCATCCTATGCAGTTTCAATACAAGAAGTCCACCATGCAACTTACAGTCCAACTATGCCACGCGCCCACTGAGATTAGTCCATTGGCCCTGATCAGAGGAGCACCATACTCGTTGGTCAAACATGCCACACGCTAGTCAAAAAGGTCAACAAGGCCAAAAGCTTAATGGGCCTGATTACTGGACAAAACCCTCCAATTTGGGGACAAACCCCCCATGGTTTGCTTTTTATTCTTTTTTATATTTTCCTATTTTATTTGTTTTAATTGATTTCTCTTTAATTCTTTAAACTAATTTATTTTCACAACATATAAAAATAGTAAAAAAATCAGAAAAAAGACAAAAAATAAGTATTTTTATTTAAGGTTATTTTTTGTAAATAAATATCACTAATTAATTTTAGCTTTTTAAATTAGGTTTAATTCAAATATTTTTCTCAATAAACTTAAAAAACTTGTAGAATTAGGTTTTAATTATTTTAATTACTTTTTCTTTTATTTTATCATCTCTAATAATTAATTATTTACTATTATTTTTATAAATCAAATTGCTCTAATTAGTTAGGTTAATTTAGGTTTAACTTTAATATTTTTTCTTAATAAATAAAAGTTATAGAATTAGGGTTAATTTAATTTTAATTTCAGCTAATCTTCTCATTAAAAATTCACAACTCCAAAAAACCTCAAAAAAATCTTTTCTCTTTTTATTTTAATTTTATTTCATTAATTTAATAATCATAATTTAATTTCATTAAAAAGGGTCCAACGCCCTCGCTTGCGATTTTTTTTATTCTCTTCGTGCATTTTATTTATTCTCTCTTTTAAATGTTGATGTAACTCTCCCAAAGCCGTGTAATTTTATTTATCTTTCGCACTTTACTTTACTTCTTTATTTTCTGTCAAATCGGGTCCTGGATTTTAATTTGGCGATGTGGACCCGCGCCTTTGTAATAGTTTAGAACTTTATATTTCCGCATCCTTTTAACTGTTAAATAAATGCATGCAAGAATGAATGACCTAAAATAAAAACAAACGCATAGATCACTTTGACATGAACAAGACAAAAATAAACGAATCTGACACACAAATCACACACCACCCCTAGGGTACGCCTCACTGTTGCCTTGCCTCGAAAGATGATCGTCGAGTAGAGGATGTCTTAGTAAGTCCTCATGATCCGGGAACCTGGCATGAGGGTAGCTTCTAAGGTACCTTCCTATTGCTCTGGTGATCACCATGTCCCGAACCTCGAATTGACCCGAACACCTCCAACGGTGGTGCTACCTACCTCTCAATGGTGGGATGGCACTACTTTAAAGGACATCTACACAGACGAATTCCTTAGGGTAGGTAGACGACTCTAGATACTTGCTCTAAATTCAAAACAAATTCAAACTACTTTTCACACCAACACATTTTCAAAAAGCTTTCGAAAGCAAATTTTCAAACACTCTTGAGGACCGATACAAGAGTCGAACTGGAATTTTCAAAGAAACTTTTTAAAACCCACAGTTGAAAAGCAAACAAACCAATTTTGAAAACACAATGAGCAAGTATCTAAGAGCCCATGGATAACCATGGATAGAAAGGGTGCTAACATCTTCCCTTTCTATAATCTACCTCCTGAACCGAGAGCAATCTCTATAAGGAATTTTTCTGTGCTTTTGTCCTTTCCATTTGGAGAAAATAAAAGACGGTGGCGACTCTTGCTTCCGCGATATTTCGCGAACCAGCGTTAAACAGTCAGTTCCAGATCCACCGATCACACCCACACCTTGTGTGGTTTCCTCTCCCCGCGAGTCAAGGAATAATTGAAATGTTTCCCATCAAGCCAATTCCAACATCTGCTTAAGTAAACGCGCATCCTAACGACCCTCTCCCTCGATGCAGTAAAAGATCCGCAGCGAATTGATGCACGACATAAGGAAAAGTTGGACTTAAGTCATAACTCCTTCATCAGGAGCAGTGACTTGGGGGGCTCCTGTTCTGGACTGGGCCTGCACTTGGCCCAACTTCATACGAAGCCCAATCCAACTATGTTGCTCGAGGAGCCTTCTGACCGAGTCTGTCCTCAACTATGTCGGGCAGTAACCTCACCCTTCGTGAAAACACAGCTCCGTTGTACGGGGATAAATCCAGGAATTGCGAGGAGGCTCGTCGCAGGTCAGGAGGACCTCGCGAGCATCCTCTACTCTTCTCGTCGACCAAGGCAAGCCCTCCTAGTCGACCTCACAGCTGGAGGGGAGGGTCCACGATGACGTAAGGACACCGCGAACCTCCTCCTCGTAGGTTGACTCACAACATACTCGAATATCATGGAGTCCTCTTGGTCCCGAAAAGACCGCATCCATTTTCTCCTGACTATTCGGGGAGTCCATCCAGGTTGGAGATCACGTGCTAGCCCCACTACGCACGTAGAACCTGGAAGTCTCTATTTTGGAACTGCTTGCTCAGTCCAACGATGGGGACCTTGGCCCAGCGCTGGAGGCTATAAATACCCTCTCTCTTGAGAGGGTCAGATATTCATTCTTTCAAACTTACTCTCACACTTGCTCGCACTGCTCTGAACTTTACTTTGACATCAGAGTGTCTTACAGGTACCTCCAACTCACTTTCAATTGCTGCTCAACTGACAGTTCGTAGACTTTAACGATCCACTCTGATCAGGTACGATCACATCAGTTTTAATGATTTTAGATTGTTTTTGATGACTTAAAATAATATTCAATAATAATCTGTTACTATATTTAATTACATAATTTTGTTGTATGATATTATTTTTACTCTTTATTAATTAGATATAATATTTTTTTCTTTTTCTATTTTTTATTTCTACTTTTTTTTATATTATTTTAAATAATTCAATAGAAATTTATCCGACGGGCAAACGTTTAATTACTAATTAAATATTGATTAGCAAATAGGACACTGAATGAAAAAAATTGTGCCAAAATTTAGAATAAATAATAATTTATTAAATAAAATGTAAATAAGACACGGACAACAAAAGTAGTAACTTCCAAAAAATGGTTAACTGCGTTATAACCCACTAATCCCATTACTCAATTAGATATAATAGAAGCATGTTCCAAGATACATATTTGCCTTCTTATTTATTTATTTTATTTATTTTTCTAAATTATTTTTAAAAATGCTTAATTTCACTTAATTTAGATATTTAGTTGTTTTGGACCATGAATTTATGGTGGTACTTGCACGTATGTTAATTTGTTTTTTAAGCAGTTAAATATATATTAACCATTAAATAATTTTTCAAACACAAAACATAGCAGAAGAATGGTATAAAGTAAGGTATAATATCATTCAGATCAAGAAGACAACAATACAATTAAAAAATTAAATTAACCGATAGAATCTATAATACACTGTAACAGATTAATCCTTCAAAACTGATAATCAAACCCGAAAGCTGACAAGAAAGATTTTAATTCAGAAATATTGGAATTTGACCTTTTCACAAACAATCATAGGTTTTTATTCTGAAAAACTCGTAAGTTCTTCGACAGTTACCCACACTGCAGCTATCTAAATAATATGTAAGACATATTTGCATTCTTTAGTCCACCTACCCAAAGCTATAAATTTATCATGATGATCTTAACAGTGATCTTGAAAAACCGACGAAAATCCTAATCAATCAGTCAATATCGGTCAAAGTTTTCCAAAAAATCACAACGAACAAACAAATACTTTCGGGTTTCATTATACACAATTGGACAAGTTAGCTCCTCTGCCAAAATAATATTTCTCATAACCAAATTATCTTTCGTCGGTAGTCTATTATAATATAAACGCCAAACAAACAAATCCATCTTAAACAACACAACTTTTATCCACCAAACCTGAAAATCTCCTTGAGGATGAGCATCCACCGACTTCATTAATAACTGGTACGTATTACTCACATTATACCATTATACCAATTTGAAGAATGAAATTTTCACACCTAAATATCACCAATAAAGTCCTACAAAACAACAAAATCCAATAATCCAAAAAACAATTAATCAAAATGGATGATAATGATTTATTTTATAAAATCGGTATACTCTATAAATTACATACTAAAAAAATCACAATTTTTATTTCATATTATTAAATATTATCTTTTACAAAGTTAAGTAATTACTAATCATAATAATTTTTCTCTTCAATCTAATGAATTGTACAGGTAAATGGGATAAAGGAATTATAGTCGCCTAAAAATTTGCATTGGAGTTCTTAAAATATAGTTTCAGAAAATATCATTAACAAATATTTTATCTTCTTTTAAAATCAGTTTTTTTAAATATTAAATAATAAAATAGTTTTAAAAAATTTAAAACAAACTGTTTATTATTTTAAATCAAACGGTTTCTTCATTTCCCGCTCAGAATTCATATATAAATAACTCAATCTCCTTCTACTTTTTCACATTCAAAATTCAAGAAAAAAAAAACGGTTTCTCAAAATTTCTTGCAAAAATGGCAGGTCGTGGAAAGGGCATGAAGGGGCTTGGAAAGGGAGGAGCAAAGAGGCATAGGATGATTCTCCGCGACAACATCCGCGGAATTACAAAGCCTGCCATTCGTAGATTGGCGAGAAGAGGAGGCGTCAAGAGGATTAGCGGTTTGATCTACGAAGAAAGTAGAGGAGTTCTCAGATTGTTCTTAGAAAGAGTCATTCGTGATGCTGTTACGTATACCGAACACGCTAGGAGGAAGACTGTCACTGCCATGGATGTTGTGTATGCTCTTAAAAGACAGGGAAAAACCCTATACGGTTTCGGAGTTTGAAGAATATGTACGCTATTATTTATCTTCATATTCTCTTTTCTTTTTTTATTATCTATGTTGTGTGTAATTTGAATTTCTCTTTCTGCATGTTTTCAAGAATGTTTATTTTCAAATATTAGTGAGTCTTATAGAATGATCGCCATCTAGTGTGTTTTTTTATTGTGGTTTATGGGAAAAAAATGTAAACTTATATTTATGTATGTATTAAATTTGTATTACTAATTTCTGCATAACTTCCAAGAACTTTTGTTTGTATTATTTTTTTCTGCATAACTTTCGAGAACTTTGTTTTCGTATGATGATTTTTTTACAAGAATTTTGAGGAGTGCTTGTTGGTGATAATCCTGGAAAACTATTTATATTTATTCTGTTTATACGTTGCGGTTTGCGGGAAATGAATTCAAATATTTTAATTGGTGAATGGTTTTGTAGAGTTACATTTATATTATCATTTTGTTGAAGAATTGGTCTACTATCAAATGTTTGATTTGAACATCAAATATTACACGTCTGAAAGTGTTGAAGTAAACAATTTTAGGATCTTTATTATATCTTAAAACATTGAAATGTATAATGTTTACCCGAGCCACAAGGGTTCACCCAATTTAGAAGTCATATAATGTTGTTAGATTTCAAATTATTTTGTTAAATGGTTGAAATATTTTTCTAACCTTTCACTATTCACCAAGGTATTGGTCATTTTTAAATAAAATGTTGTGTTCTGAAATCTGAAATTTCAATTGCTATGTTGTTTGTTTTATGGATGTAAAATTTATTTTTAAGCTTGAACTTTTTTTTAAGCAAGTTAAATTAACAGAGGAGAATTCGAGACTACAACTCGACAAAAAGACAAATTACTATCCAATTGTATTTACGAAAGATAAAAGACAATTACAAACAACATTAAGAACAATTGGGATGAGTAATTTCTCCAATAAAAAATCATCTCTAAATGATAGTCTTAATATTCCAAACAACATCAAAAACGTTCCAATTATCATTCCGAAAAATAACTAACAAATCTCTAACCATAAGCAACCTATTTTCCCTCCTCTCACCTTCTTGCTCTTGCACTGATCATACCACCATAAAAAACTCCCCTTAATTCTTTCACCCTTAAACACCTTTTCTCCAACCCAGATAGTTAAATCTCTCCAAATCAGTTTGGTGTTGGTGCAAGGTAATGAAGTGGGAGAAGAAGAATGAACAAAGAATGATAACAAGAAGACTAATGTTGTATATCAAAATAGAGGAGATAAAGTAGGGTACAATATTGATTGCCTAGGATAGCATATTTATACTAAATATTGAAAATGCCAAAAGACTCTATTAAAAGATAAGCATTGGAAATTGTAGAAATTAACTAAATTATCTTTCTAATACCATCCCTTAATTTAGATTTTCTATCAGAAGCTAACAACACCAATTTCATCTCTCAAGCGAAGAAACTGGTCTGTCTTAACTTCCTTCGTCAGAAGATCTGCTAGCTGTTTCTGGATGCTGTAGTGCAGAACTTCTAACACTCCTTTCTGCACTTGACTTCTGAGAAAATGATACTTCATCTCAATGTGCTTGCTTCTTCCATGTAGCACTGAATTATTGGCAAGATCAATTGCAGACTTATTATCAATCATCAGCTTCAGAGGTTCCTCAACTTCAACCTTCAGATCATGCAAGAGATTTAGAAGCCAAACAACTTGACAAGCAGCTCCTCAATTGCAGATTTATTATCAATCATCATCTTCCTCGGTCCTTGCCTTGAACCTGATAACCTGAAATATGATAAGGAATGGGGTGAGATAAACTATCTTAGTGGATCTCCCTATCCTATGGGTCCACTCGGCTCTACAGGGTCACTATCATTATCCCATCCTGTTAGTGCTCATGTATATACTATCTCATAGGACTCAAGAAATGAAGCATAACACACTTCACCATAACATATAAGTTGATAGCTTAAACGTTTTAGCCACGTAGAACAATAGGAGCTATGGATCTATCACATCAAAGTTTTGACGAACCTTTAGCCCAGCTAGTGTTTCAAACTGCGTTGATGATCGACAACCCGCTGCCCTCAAGGTAAGGTTTTACGGAAGTTACTGTCCCCTTCTATAATGTCATGTCCATTAAGGTGGTTTCCGGAATTACCCGCCCCTTTCTCTTAGGATCATGACTAACAATATGATATTCAGAGTTCTCCTACCCTACTACTTTTGGGTCTTATTCTCCTACATTTTGAACTACATATTACTTAATTGGGAAAACTTCCAACTTTCACTCCCTTAATTCCATTATCTTGGAATTAGGGTGTAACAGATAATAACTAGGTTAATCCTTTCAATTCTCACACTATCTTCATAATATCACCAAGAAAATAAAATACATCATAAAATTATGAAAATTTCTAGTATCATAGTACATTAAATGACCTTTCAAATCTAATTAGTTTTATCTCAATCCAATTTTTCTAATTTTTCTAGCCTTAGTTAGAACCATTTCAATTCAGCCAAGTCACAACATTTTCTGCATAACTCTTAAGGCAGAATATCTAAGTTCAAAATAACACTTGAAATTCAATTCAAATGGAAAATTATGAAACTTTACCTTATCAATAGTACATTAGTTATATTTCTAAAAAAACGGTCCCATCCAATTCCGAGTTTCCAATAAGTTCCTTTTATCTAACTCATAACAGGTTTTTAAGTTTCAATTCTTAATCAACCATGGTGTTTACCGTGGTTATTGGTAAACAACCGCTGATCCTCCAAATGGTTACTTATTTGGTTACTCGCAGGATCGATCAGATTGATCCTAAGACATAGGTTGATTTTGAGGTTTTGATTAAATTGGATAATGGTTAAATGACAATAAAATAAAGAGGCTTTAAGTAAATTGCATGAAGAAATAGGCTTGGTAAAATAAATGAAGGCTTGAAGTAAAGGACTTCGACAGGAAAAGTAAAGAAGAAAGCAAGTAAAGTTTCTGGAAAAGTAAATGACTTTGATTAATAAAATTGGTGTTTCACACATACATTCTCAACAATTCTTTCTCACACGCTGGATACTCGAATCTATATGAGTGACTTTGTATATAATTGTGAACACACGCGAGAAACTGCATGAACTACTACTATTTATACTAAAACATCCCAAGTAACCGTCGGGCAGTTACACTGCTTCGAGATGATTCCACTTGGCACGTTCTCAACGTTCGACGCTCCAGATCTTCGCACGTTGCACTTGGTAACCGCTGGAACTCGTTTTCCCTCCAAACGCTTGAATTTCAAACCGTTCCACTCTGAACCATCGAACACCTTCGTCGAGAAGCATCTTCGACGAGAAACACCTTCGACGTCGAAGGCAACCAACTTCTCCCTTGGAAGAAATCCTCTAAGTACATTGCCATCTTTCGATGGGCATTTCGACGGACCCAGCTGGTCGAAAACATCCTTCAGCTTTAATGGCTGACATTAATAAAACAAGGGTGTCGAATTTAGGAGCCAACAAATTGCCCCCCAAGAATGCCTTATTTCGACTCTGAAAGAAAAAGGCATTCTTTGAAATGCCATTCGACACCTGTCTTTTCATTCTTAGTCACAAATTAAATTGTGCACTTTTTGTTGTCTTCTACCAACCACTGACAATCCCAAGGAAAAGCCATCATTCATCCGTACCTAAGACGTCACTTCAGTACGGCGTGCAGTGTGCCAAACGTCTTTTCACAAATTGTCATCATGACAATTCCCAAAAACGAGGGCGCACGCTGCACCCTTCCATTTCTGCAGAACGGCTACAACAACAGGGAAACGCCACGTGTCCCACTACCTTCTGCAACATTAAATGGAATTTAATGTCCTCGAATTTGGGGATTTCCCCAACTACTATAAATAGCGGTAAGTACCCATTGTGGGACTTTTTACGCTACCTTACTTTCAGAATTCCTCATTTGCATACAAACTCTTGTCAACTTTGCAAACCACCCGTTCTTCGCTTCGTCTTCAACCTAAGTATCAACAATGGCATCTGGTTCATCCAACGCTCCTAGCGCCAACACTCCCTCTGGAAATGTCAAACCTAGGATTTTCTCCACCGCTCCCGTAGTGACTCCCACGGGTCAACGAAGGGTCCCTGAGCCTTTGGACATTGATGTACGTGATGCTTATTCACGCCACCTCATGATTCCGGTTGGATATTCCAACCAAATCTTTGCTATGTCTGGCCCATTATACCCAAGCATTGCTGAAGCCATGAAGATCAAAAGTTACTTTCCGGTACTTGAGAGACTCAAACCGGTTGGATGCTCCAAGAAAGATGCAGAGGATAATGAAGATCCTGCTAAGGAGAAAATCGACCTCCGTTTCTTCAACAAAGGTGTTAGGGCTTTCAGGTCTGGTCCTAGCCTCACTCCTGATTATAGTGCTTGGCTGGAAAAAATGGAGAAACGCCAGGCTTCGATCTGGAAAGACATGGGGATATTCAACCTGGTTATGCTATCGAAGACAGGTTTTAACTATTCCCCAGAGATGTTGATAGCTTCTTTACTCTTCTGGGATTACACCCATTTCACCTTCCATCTTCCCTGTGGAATGCTGACTCCCACGCTCTTCGACGTGGCCGCCATCACTGGCCTTCGACCCACTGGGGACTACTTCGACCCGGAGGAAATGTCGGAGGATCAGATTGGATTCTCTGCCACAAAACCAACCTACACCACCTTCATCAATCACTACCACGATAGGTCGACAGATGCTGTGTCAGATGTCGAACATATTGCGTTTCTAGCCTTATGGCTGACACGCTTTGTGTTTTGCTCCAAGTCTTTACAGGTGACTAAGAAGATGGTCACTCTCGCCACTCAACTCCACCATGGCCAAAATATCTGTTTGGCAGAATTGATTTTGGCGAGTCTGTACGAGTCGATTAGCAACGAAGCGACTCTTCTGAAGATCATCGAGAACAGAGCCAGTCTGCTGCTTGCTGGACCTTTTTGGCTGCTTCAGC